TGAGTTTTCTCACATTTCTAGTTTTCTTCTTGCCTAAAACATTGCTAATTAAACCTTTTTGAGGGTGTTAAGCAAGCAGATTGGTTCTGTGTGTGCAAAACTGCATGCAGAAGGAAGCAGGAGTCTATTACTTCCCAGATTCCTGAGATATGTGGGTAAACAGGCAGGGCCAGACACTGCAAGCTCTGGTTTACATAAAAAATTAAAAAATGAAAAAAAAAAATCAGTAACTATTTAGCTGTTGGTTTGTTGGGTTTTTTTTTTTCCCCAGAACATGCATCAGGCCTCTTTGATATATTAGTAATATTTTAATGCCACTTCCAGTGTCTACAGACATTCACTTCAACTTGTCACTGGATGAGCCAGACCAGTAATGAAAAACAAAATGACCAGAAAGAGCAGAACAGAATCTGTATTTCGTATTTGAACAATACAAGGCAAGAGCTCAGACACCGCGTTTCTGTTAGACTGGGGTGCCCACACTTGTTCCTCTGAGAGCACCTGTGCCTGCTGCCATGGTCCCAGCTCCTCCCAACACATGGACTGCGATCAGGCACATCCAGGTTGCACAGCTACAGGGTTACAGCAATTTTCTGTGATTTAATACACCGACAATTTAATATAAGCACAGTAGTGACCTGTATCAGATCAAACAGTAAGCAAATAAACATGTTTTAAGTTGCATGATACAACTCATGTCACTTACAAGAGAACATCAGAATTAGCTCGTGGGGATTTTACAGGAACAGCATACACAGAATTTTAAACATTTATTTTTTCCACTTGAGGATTTACTGTAAGTTATGTTGACTTTTTTTCCTAAAAATATATTACATTTACTCGAGATCAGGATGGTGATAAAAACAGTTATGTACATCATCTGTTTTAACCATTCAGATTCACATGAATGTGCAAATAAGAGTAAGTAATTGATTAGTGATGATGTATCTTTATCCTGGCAAAGAGAGCGGTATTTCTCCTGGTCCAGATTAGTTTTTCCCCTTTTTGACCAACTTCAGCCAGTTCTGCTGAACGACATTTATCTCAGTAAGAGAAGAAAAAACACTCACTCCACAAATTATTTATCAGTTTTACCCTACTGCTAGAAACCTGAGAATGAGTCCAGGACTCACCTGGCTTTGTGATGACTCATATACAACACTTCTTGGATGTACAACTGTTGGGAAGTTTCTCTTACTCTATTATAGCACCTTTCATCTTAAATCTCAGCATTGCTGCATTTTTTCTTCTATAATTTTGAGGACCTGTTTGGATGCCATATTGAACAGAGAGAAGTAGGATCTTCTGCCACTACTACTGGAGCATCAAAAAGAAGATAAGCACAACTGTTGCTTCCTACAAAAGGCCGGTAAGGTAATTTCGATGACATGAACCCTGTTGGACGGCGCTTGCTCTCTGGCTTATGTGCAATTACTGTTCGGGTTCTGCAACTTCAGCCAGAGGTCTGTGATTACATCTAGAAAAGCAGTTGGGGCTTAGGTACCGTCACTGGAACCCAAAAAGCACGGCTGTCAGCCTGCTGCATGAGTGAACTCCCACAAGAGGGTTCCACAGTGCAAATAATTAATTCTCTTATTAACTGGTAGCTATCAACTTGAGTAGATGAATGAGAGGTTCAAAGTGCATGTTCACCGAGCGCTGTGTACGTACCCTGCCTAACAGTACAACGTGTTCAGCTGCTCCATCCCCTTTAGCATAACGTATGTCTACAGAGGTGATGCAAAGGAAAGCTACGTGTCAGACATGCTGTAGCCCAATAATGGAGGGGAAAAAAAAGGACTAATTTTACTGAAGCATAAAAAACTGAAACAGAAAATCAGAGTGACAGTATGGTAATCCAGGCGTTTTGACTAAAAAAGGGTGAAGTGTTGCCTTAAGAAACACTGAAAATATGAAAGCTCCACATTTGTCTGAAGTGGAATATTTAATTTTTTAAAAAATTAACTACACACACACAAGCACAAAAATCTTCAGTGTGATCAGTCTTACAAGTCTGAGATTTGTTATTTCCAGTTGGAAATACATCCCTAGAATTACTGCTTTGCATCAAATGATGCCCCACTTCCTGGGAGAACACCCATTCACTGAATGGATTCAACATGGGAGTGACAGATGCTTCTGTGTCCTCCTCTAGTGAATGCTCATTTCACTAAGGCATTAACAACTACTGAAGTTTCCTACTAGCGGTACCATTATCAGCTCAAAGCACATGATTTTGTCAAGATTCAGATAATATGTCCAGTGAGTTATTCGAGAGATAGTAACGACAGAACAGGAGTGCAGTCAGCTTAATCTCACAGAACAAAACTTCATCCTAATCCAGGATGCCTCTGCCACGGGTGAACAAGAGCTCCACCGTCTCCCACCTCACAGTCACACACGTGCACAGAGAAGGCCAATTCTATTACCAGCCCTGCACCTGTAGGTTTTGGTAACCCAAACATGTGGTATTTCAATGCAAACGCTTTTGAGTGGAGAATGGGGCAATGCTTATAATAAAAATTATTCACAAGGGACAATGCGAGTGCTAAACATTTCGACATGTCTCTTCACCCAAAAGGCAAAAGCTACTCCCACTGAATAGTGATGTGAATACCTCAGGATTCCTGCAGTATGCAAGTCATCTGCTTTACATCGACACACTAACCCCAGCAGGATAAAAACCCTAAATTTTCAAGCAGCATACATGAAAAATGTTCTCCAGAAAAATGCTAATTTGGAGAGTCTCCATCTCAGTCATATTGAAGAACAAGCACTGCAAAACCATGACAAAGAGCCACTTCAGATTTAAGATGGGAATGAAATTAAAACTCTTACCCAATGCTGCAAATACATATGTACGTTAAAGTTTATGTGTACGAAATTTCAGCGTGTCCTAAATTCAGCAAGTCTGTCAGGTCTCCACCTATGAAAATTTCTGTTGAGTTTTCAGTCCTTAAAAGAGTGGTTTATAATGAGAGACCTTAAATACACATGGCTTATGTAACAGGACAATGTCGACAGTTTAACATGTAACAATACAACTGGTCATTACACGCAATAAAGACTTATTTTTCAGTACTCTGTACAGAGTCAAACAATGCAAAAAAGATGTTTCAGACACTTTGTGGTGTTTGTTTTTCAAGAAAAATGAATAAAAAATGTGAAACCGGCAGAGAGACGACATAAAAGTTTCCATATTAAAAACAGTTGTCAAAATTCTTCATGCAAACACTCTATCCTACATCCTGAAGTTGTAAGGTGGTCCCATGATGGACAATCATAAGTCTTCTCCTAAGTACCTTACTACATAAACTGCTAAAACAGATGGGACTTGACTCTATTTATACTCACATACATACTGTGATTAAATGCACCTGTTAAAAAATAAAGGCCTTTATCCAAGAGAAAATATAGGAGACATTATGGTGAAGAACACAATGTTTTGCTGCAGTAGCAAAGGGGATCGAGCGCCCTGAAGGCCGCCTTCTTGCCAGCAACAGGAGGTGCTCTGACAGCTTGTCAAACACACAATGGTACTCGGCAGAACCTCTAGCACAGTGAACATAAAACAGAGAGTTCAGAGATCTTTAGAGTTTGCACATAACTTGCCACCCACTTCTCTCCCCGCAGACAGTGGGGAAAAGAGTACATTTCAGTTTTCATACTCGTTGACTTAGAAACAAAGTAAGTCAGGCTTCCTACATGAATTCACACAGTGAAAAGTCCTTCCTCCAAAAATATACAGCATCACTCGACTCATTTTCATTCTCATACACCATTTAAAAAACTATTAAAACTCTGTATTTTTTCAAGCAGCATATTTTGCATTTGTCTCCGGCAGCTTTGTTGTAGAAATCCTAGAAAGTTAAAATTATACCATACCATACAAAAACATGTAAACAAAATGGGTATTTTTTAAAAGGCATGCATGCTCTTGAAGACGATTAAAAAGCATTTCTTTTTGGTAAATAAAAGATATCTCGCTTAGCACTTTTAAAAGCACCTTAGTGATTTAGGAGCCTAAGTCTAAATAACTGTAATTTAAATTTGGGCTCCTAAACATCTAAATCAATTCTGTAAAATTACTTAAGCACTTTGAAAAATTTTTGCCATGTCTCTGATCTTGCACAATTAGATTTTCTGTAACCAGCAGCCAACTTTGAATCTGAGACAACATTCAGGAATGTCTCATTAACATAATTCAGTCATCAGCTGCAATTTTTTTGGATCCTCCATTATTTAGTTTATGTTATCTATGAAAAATTTCTCCAAATAAGGTATTTTGTGACACCACTTCGCAAGTTCCTTCTTCACAGACAACACAGGGTACAACAATCAAATCTGAACAGGAATATGATTATATGTTCCTTCTGAACAGCTGTTAGTGTCAAAGACTCTGTTATTTGTTCAACCTGTTAAGACTGAGAAAAACAAACTTACAAAAACATCTGTAGCACAGCATTAGGTAAAAAGAAGGAGCATTTTTGGCACCTTAAATCTCAGCTTTTAGGCCCAAAGTAGAGCAAGTTAAATGCACACAGTGGCAGCTGGGAAAGTCTCATCTGAAATGCAACATTTTTAAAAGAAGTTGTTTTTTTGGAAGATGCTATTTTATGATCATTAGCTGATCTCCAAGTAACATATACACTGGGATTTAGTCTAAATATTCATACCAAATGTTTACATATATACCTTAGCATTCATATATATAATACAAGTACATTGCACTGACAGAACTGTCAGAATCCATATGAATATAGTCAGCCATAAAATGTAGTGTCTTCTTTTTGCTCTTCCTTTATCTTAGTGTCCTGACTAACCAATTCTAACGTTTTCATTGAAATTGAGTTGCAAGCTTGCTACTTTCCCTTGGGCCACAGTGTTAGGGTCTGTACCAGTACTTCTAAGTATTATCCTTACGTTAAATGTGCTTTGCAATTCAGCAATACCTAGTTCATAGCTCTGTAAATAATTCCTTGAAAAAGGAGAAGCTTGCCTAATTTTTACAAAGTGCACGGGGCAGCCACGATTCTGTGTTTTGCCACCAGGTGTCCCACTCCACACACCAAAAAACATCAGCATCAGCAAGTTTGTATGAATCCACCCTCTATCAAGGATCCCACAGGCACAAGATTTGCTAAAGCACTGGTAAAAATACCTCTACAGCTGGCTTTATTCTGTATTCAATTGCACAACTTCATCCAATTCACTGGGTTGTTTTTCTCCCTCCAAAATTGGTCTAAGGTATGCTGCAGTTGCTAAAAGGACTTCTACTTTTCTTGGTCCTCTGTTTGTTTGGTCTAAGGTTGATGACATCTCCACCATTAAGAGTGCTAGAATTTTGGTTGGAGTGACTTCCAATAGCTGTATTAAAAACACCTACAGAAATTAAAAACAAGAAAAGTATTTTTATTTCTTGACTTCCTGCAGCATAATACATTCACACATAAGACACAGGACTTACTAAGGCATAGCAGTGTACCTCAAATGCATACTCTAGTTTTTAAAGGCTTTATCTATTTCTGGGTCAATTTTGCAGCGACATTTGAAGCAGAGCCAGTTGGAATTACTAGCCAGGCAGTATTTAAAGCTGGTGTATATCTATGTAATTGAAGGGCAGCATATGCATTCATCTGTATTCATGTATGCTACTAATTGCATGGTAACAAAGTTATGGTTAGTTGAGTAACATAATAAAAGAAAAACATGACAATTTTAAAGTTAGAAACTTTGCTGAGATAAAGGTAAGGAAAAAGCCCGAATAAAAAGGGAGTGCTTTAAGGAAAATAAATGAACTGACTCAGAAATGTCTTTAAGAAGGACTACAGAAGTTCAACATTCCCTTACAAAAGGCAGTTTACAAAGACCTTCTGACTACAGGCCAAGATTCTTTCACTGTGAGTCTCTTGTATATCCGCACCAAAATGAGTAACACTAATTACATTTAAAAACCCAACAAGCATCCTTTCTCAAGTCCTTACACAATGTTTGTTTAAATGAATTTAATAAGAGAGTACTTGCCAAACATTAGCTAAAAACTTTAGTACATCAGTTTGACAATCTTGTAAATTTAGAGTGACCAAGTTGTTTCAGAGAAGGAGACAATATCCTAAGATAGGAAGGTGATAATTAGACCCTGATTCACCTTGCATTAACTCCATAAGGAAACAGATGAGACCAGAAGCTTTGATGGCACAAAATACTGTTTCTGTTTTTTTTATTACAGTATACATACCAATCTTGTTACTGCTTGTATGTACTAGTTCTGGATCTTCAGCTGTTTGTTGCTTGAGCCTTTGAAGATATTTATCAGCCAAGTACTTGAAAACTGGAATGTTAAAAAGAAAAAAGGTACATCAGAGTATGCTTAAAAATAATCTTAATACCAGTAATAATACCTTGTATCAGAATTCTGCGTGGTGACAAAAGTGCATTCAACTCCACAGATTCTGCATGATCTGGTAAGTGATTCTCTCTGGTCAGGCCTGTGTACCTGAGCAGAATTCAGATTAGCCCAGTGTCTGCGCAGGTCTTAACAGTTTGCAGTCCCAGAGCCTTGCACAGCACACAGAAACATCTCAGTACTCCTGCAATAAGGCTGGGACATACATATTGCCAAATGTTCCAATTCATGCAACTTGTAACTTTTTAGAGTTATGTAGCAATTCAATTTTATATACATATATATTTTGCCAGAAGCCTTAGAATAACAGCAGTCATGTAAAGTAAGGCTATTAATATAACTTGTCAGCAACATTTTTGTAATTAACTAATGCTACCCTCATTTGTACTGGGGTATAGAAAATCTATCTAGGATTCTGAAAAAAAATCTACAGCTACAGGAGAACTTTCAGAACCTATATATGTTACAATTACTTACATTTATAATTAGTAACCCATGTAAAGATGATACAGAAACATTTTACATTTTCTCTTGTGGATGGTTTTTTACAAGGTGAATGATGTTAACAGAGAAGAAACAATTAATTTACTATTCAGTTTGCCTGATTAAACAAAAGTTATCAGAGTCTAACAGTACTCTTATAAAATTGTTATACTCTATCAGAGCGTAACAGTACTCATAAAATGAAATATATACAATAAAAAGTGGTACATGGGAACTAGTTAAATATCATCAGTAGATAAAAGGCTATAAAAGATCCAATTTAAAAATGTATTCTATTTAAATAAAACTAAACTATGAAATAATTATAACAATTATTTATTAACTATTAACAATTACTAAATAATCTGTTCAACAATTTGCATATTGCAATAATTGAACTTCCACATATAATTTTCTTAAAAGCTCAGTGCTTACTAACGGTCGTTAGAACCAAGCAGCCTTAACACATTAACACTACTAAATATTGAAGATATGCACTGTTTGTGGAAGAGAAAGGAAAAGGCTTCTCAAAGAAACATGCCTAAGACACTGATATCAAGTCATTCTCGCTATGTTTAAAGTAAGCTGCTAAGAAATATAAAAAGGATTGCCAGCAGCGTGCATGGGAAGTACCAGATCAGCTCCAAACGAGAGATGTGCAGTGACACCCACTCTGCTGCATCTCCTACCTTCGGTTACGTTTAGGTCTTCCTTCACAGACGCTCGGTAGAACCTTAATTTTAGCTTTTTTGCCAGTGCTTCTGCCTCTTCACTGCACAACAGAAGAAGAGTTTGTAAATATTAATTTGTATTATTTGTCAGCACTTATTCTTACAGACAAAACGCTTTGTGGTAAGTTAAACATGGCAAGGTGGGTTAAGAAACTCAGTCAAAAAATACTTGATCCTTAATTTCTTTACAACATCTCTGCTATAACAAGAAGGTATTTTACATGCAGTTTCTTTATGATCAAAAGTAACTGCTTTTCAATATTTATTGACTTAACTAAAATTTCCCAAGGGTTTGAAGACAGGTGTCAGTGAAACCAAAGTAAGGAGGCTGTAACTAACAGCATTAGAATCAGAACAATTATCACTGCAAAGTCAAAACAACAACAAAAAAGTAATCCTTAAGTATACTTTAATAAAGCAGCAGACTGTGAGATCAGGTAAGTGCAGAGATGAAATCAAGAATTACTTTTTCCTATGAAGTGAAATAGCACTTGTGCTAAACTTTAAGGAAAACCTGCCAAAACTTATGAAAATTTCACCAAAGCGAATCACATAATCAGAAAGACGATGCTACTGAGGCAGATGGGAGTATTCTGAGAGCAAAACCTAAGTGACATACCATGAATAAAGGAGGAGTTCAAATGCAATTTTGCTTTTCCTTTGAAAAATCCTCAGTATTCTTTGCAGAGGGAATAGAAGCTGATTTATGCCATCAATGACAGCAAACAGAGAACAAAGAAAGCCAGTGCAGGAAACAACAAAAAGAAATAATTTCAATCTCTCAGGAAGATGGCAGAAACAAAGAAGTGGAGAATGATCAACTTCATCATGCAGTATTTTCTACATTATATGCTGTGGTAAATAAAAGCATTTGTTAAGCTGATTTTATGGCAAGAATGAAATTGGTCATATATACAAAGGCAGAATGAACTGACAGTAAAATCTGTAAAGAAAAATACAGTGAAGAAGGATCAGCACCATACAGTTTGAGAATATTAACAGATACGTATTTCTATTTGAAAAAAATGAGCAATAAAACCAAATTAAAGCAAAGCGAAGAATATTAAGATAGTTTTTCAAACAACCTGTTTAATACTCCTTCATCATTTTACCAAGCATTCACTAGCCAACCCAGACAATGTAACTTCACTGGTGCACAGCACAGTTTAATAGTAACTGTAAATTTTAACAGGAGAAAAAATGTACAGTTTCTGATTTAAAAAAAAGACAGAATCATATCATGGCACAACCATGATATTTATGGTTTATTATGGCTATTCCTTTATCTTTTTGGCTGATACTTCAGAAGAAGGCATGAAGCAAATGGAAATCCCCTAGCCTGGCAAGCACATCTGCCCAAGTAACTACACTCATGCAGCAATGCCTGTCAGCTGCACTCCTAGGGCATGTTTTGATGCAGGCCATAGGTTTGACAACCTAGATATCGTACATCTTAACCAGAAACTGCCATAGGTTGGTTTGGCTTTTTTTTTTTAAATATGTATACAGAGGGCATACACTGTTCTTTAAAACCAGTAAGAGAAAACTCCTACTTCTTTATACAAGAGTCATCGAGAAGATCAATCTTATTCTGCACAAGAACTGTAGGAACGTCTCCGACTTCGGTTACGACTTTCTCCTTCCAGGTAGGGATTGCTTTGAAGGACTCTCTGTCAGTTGTAGAAAACACAAGTACACAAGCCTGGGCTCCTAAAAATACATAAATCAATTACAAATAAATACAAAACAACCAACAAACGTTTAACAAAGAGAGGAATCATATATAATGTATTTAAAACACGAGGAATTTTTCCAGTTTCTCCCATAAATTGCACTTTTACCACCAGCCCTTGTCAAACCAATGGTCATAAATTCCCCAAATTAAAACAGACTGACATATTATTTTGATAATTATACCCATTCTTCACGATGGCTAAGGGTCTTCTACCTTTCAAGCTACTTCCAGCATGGTGGATCTATGCGGGGGAAAGGAATAGGAGGGGGTGTGGAAAGCCTGGAAAAGAGGGAAAGGGAGGTCTGCTTATTGCTCGCTGTTTTCCAGACAGCTTAATTGAGGCCAGAAGGCAAATACTTTTCTGTATGCAGTATCTGTAAAGCCCACTTCACATTATCCTCTGTGCTACAGTCATCTGGATTTTTAAAAGCAGAAAACAAAATTTTCAGAGAAAGTTGTGATTATTTCAAGTAAATTGTTTAGTAGCCCTTTGGAGAAAATAAGCATATTTCCAATTCACACTCATTCTATCGCAGCACTGTGATACTTTATACCGTGTGGCTTGTACCATTCTTGTTACTGTTCTGTAACAGCCCTAGCAAACAATAGTTAAAACCCATGGATACCGAGAAGGTACTTCCACACTTGAAATATGAGTGAGTGGTCTTTTGACTGTCCAGTAGCCCTTTGTTATCCTCAAAAAACTACTCCTCTTTGCACATAAACACATGGAGAAACATTATTTATATGCCTTTAATATACATGATGTTTAGTAACAGCTGGTGTCTTTGAGATTCCAGTGTTATCTCCTGGCAAATATCCCAATCTAATTACATATAGCACGAAAAATCATTTCATCAGTATGAATCTTCTTCTAGCTATGAGTTCCAAAAGGCAACCCCCATTCCTGTATTCTGTTTGTCTTTGTATTTCTTTGACACAAAGCACTCAAGTTCTTTTTACAGGTTTCCTTTCATTTACCTTCTCAAAGCCAAGTTCAGTCTATCTTTATGAAAGTTCTCCTATGCTTTTTAACATTCCCTCACGTGCCATTAAGACTCTCTGGTCTGTCTGTATACAGAACAATAAGAACTGCCCTCAGAATTTCAAATCAACCTCTACCAATAAAACAGCAGCAATGTAGTCTTCCATAATTTTCCCTAGTACTTGTGTTCTGAAATTTTTCTTTGTTTTCCCCAATGTCCACACCATATTCTAATGTATGCAGTTCTTCTGATCCAATTCCACTTAGATTCCTGTGAGATAGGTGTAAAATTAATTATTTTTTCCAAAGCTTGTCAATACTGAATTTATCCCATCGTCTTGCAGTGTAGCTTAATAAAGCCTCTCAAGTTCTTTGCTCTACTGGAGATGAGAATATTTACTAAAAGATTCTCACCATCTGTAAACACCATGTTGTTCAGTTTTAAGACTAAGAAATCCATTGTGAAGTTTCCACTCTAAGGCACTTTCACTTCCATCTCTCTCCTTCCTAATGCTAAAACATGGCGATAACTCGCTAATAGTAAGTTGAGAGGGAAAAGTCCTGGCATGTGGTAGATAAAAAGGGGGTGACTCACAACATCAGACATCCTTATTCAATTTAGATGTAATACACATAGAGTGCAGCAGACAGGGACAGTAAAAAACCTGAACTTGGCCATATTGGTTTTTTAAAGAGAATTGTACAATAGGCTCTAAGTAGGAATCGATATTTTTGAGGACCTTCAAGATTCTGACATTTAAAAGTTCTTACCAGGAAGTTAAACAACAGTAAATGCAATTATCTTTCCTCAGCAAGAGATACACCTGTGTATCAACAATGACAAATTCTACATACACATTCTGTATGTAATTGTGTATTTCCAAACATCTGCTGAAGGTACTGATCAATGGATTGTAAGAAATATCAGAATTTACTAATCTAATAACCCTGCAAAATGCTTATTTAAGAAGAGAACAAAAGAGGCATTTCTCTCATGCTCAATTCAAAACAATATCAAATGTGATCTTTCTGAAAGTATGCTTCAGAATAGTGCAGAAGTGGTGACAGAGTTCATCAGAAGATGCTGCAGGGCAGAGATCTTATTAGGTAAATTATTTTCATCTTCTAAGAATATTGCTAAATATTCAATATTTTTATTGAGAACATAAACAAGGTTAAGAAATTATAACATCCATGTAGGAGCTCTAAGAAAAAAAAAAGACAAACCCCAGGATTTAGGCACTGGAACACCTTTCTGCATGCAGTGACTGACAGCATTCAAGAGAGTCAATAACTATTATTGCACTCATCCACTCAAAATGGAGTCAGACACCACCTGTCATACCACAGACTGTGTACAGCAACAGGCACCAGCAGCAAAGGTGGTGTCAGACAGGAGCATCGCAGCTAAAACCAGGGTGTTCTCAATGAATATTTTAAATCAAAGTTCTTTTGTAAGAAGCTGTTTTGTAAAGCTACTTTAAAGTACTGAAGAAAAGGACATTGGATTTTTTGTGTGCAATTACTGCTTTGAGAACACTTATATCTTTATTTTAAAAAGGTTCCAACTGTCTGCAGAATCACTGATATGATATTCATACGTAGACTAATTTCAGAAAAAACCTGAGAGTAGTGCTAGCATCTCTACTTGATTCAAGTAGATTATGAGCTTGTCAGTTGAGTGGGTCTTCAGGACCCTCAGCAGACTATCCCATCCTCATAGATTCCATAACCCTGTTTTCTCCTTTCATAATGGTACAAAGCCTATGTAACAGAAAATATGCAAAGAAATTCCTTGTCATGAGTGGACTCACACAGGGTTTTATATAACAGGGCACCTATTCGATTAATCCTTCTGTTCTTTCCCTCAGCTTTGTCAGGCTATGACAGAAAACACACATTTGCTATAAAACTGATGGTAGTTCCCTCAACCTTAAACTGAGAGAAAATGTCAGGTCAAATGACATCACCATCCGGAAGTTCTTGTTTACTCTTGATGTTCTAACCACTTTGGATCCTGGCTGTCTTCAACAGGCTTAGTGGGATTTAAGGTCGCCCTAACAGTACTCAAAAGAGGGCTGCCTTGCTCCAAACTAGACCACAACAGTCTTGCTGCCCTCCCGTTATCACAGTTACTACAGCTGAAAATGGCTGTCAAGTGCAAGCCAGAGCAACGCTATGAAGGCTTGAGAAATGCAAAGGGCAACAAAATCAGGAGCCTGAGAATTTGACTAATCAGCAACTGAGTAACAGACTAATGAGCAAGATGTCCATTTTCAATCAAAAACCTAACAAGGGTCCACTCAAGATACCAGTGGTAGCAGATGGAAGAGGACACACGCACAAAGAAGAGATCAAATTCTGCTTTGAGAAACATCGGTGTCAGAGGCAGAACACATGGTGCTGCCAGTGACAGCCACTTGCACGTGTGCTTAGTGTATAAATGAAGTACCTACCCGAGTGGGGGCATGACTGCCATCAGATAGAAACTGGTAGGATGCATGATACAACATAAAAAAATTATTAAATACATAGAGAGCTTCCCTCAAGTCTTTGAATATAGGTGGCTGGACTCCTTGTGTTGTATGATCATGGGCATGCAGCTACAGCAGCTGCACATATTCACCTGTACAGAGAAAACCACACAGAATCATAGAATGGTTTGGGTTG